GTTTGCTAAGTTTTCTTAAAACAACTATTTTGAATTCTATATCAATCATTTCATAGGTCTCAATTTCTTTAGCATTAGTTAGTGCTTTATTTTCCTTGTTTGGTGGTGTCATGTTTCCTTGATTTTTCTTGAACCTTATGGGTATGTGTTTGTGTCTGTTAATTTGAATAAATGAGGACTTATTCCCATCTTTGCAGACACACTTTGTCTGGAAAAGTTCTTTACCAGTCAGCCTATCTAGAGATTCTGGGCATGCTATCTGGTGTGGTTCATAGGTAGAATTACTGCTTGATTTCCCAGGGAGGCTTTCCTGGCATGCAAGTCTTTGGGTTTGCACCTAGGGTCTGCATCCTTTGGGGGGTGGACCTGGTACTGTTGTGTGCTTTGAGGCTGAATCTGCAGAAGATGGGCAGGCACTAAGATGGGGCTGGAAACTGGCCTGGCACAGGGGTGGCCCTGGAGCCTGAGTCTGCAGGTGTAGGCCTGGGTCCTAGGACCAGCACTGCCAGTCTGGGGCCTGGGTCAGCAGGGTTGGTTCTGGAGCTTCAGTCTATGAGGTCTGGCTTGACATTGGGGTCTACTGGGTATGTTGAGACTCTGGGTCTACTGGACCCTGCACCCCTGCGTTATAACCTGGAGCCAGGGATCACAGGTGATGGCTTAGTACTTGAAGCCATGAAAGCTATCCTGGAGCCTGGGCTCTACCAGGATAGGCCTAGACCCAAGGCCTGTTGAAGAAGGCCTTAACTGTGGGTTCACTGGAGTATAGGACCACAGGGGGTCACCTGAGGGGTATATTTTGTACATGGATTGTTCAAATTAAAGTTTCTGTAGGAGTACAAGCACTGGAAACACTGCAGGAGTACAAGTATAGCACCATTTTGCTGACATCCTGATCCTATAAACTTTCTTAAGGGTAAAAATTCTGTTTAATACTATTCTTGCACTTCACATGTATTAAGAACCTACTTTATTGAGGGCTCTGTGCTGATCTTTGGAAATAAAAATTGAATGACTATATAAGAATTCCAAATAAGATAAACAGACACTCTGCCCTAAAAGAAGGGGCCATATCTCTACTCCTTAAGTGTAGGCTGCACATAGTGACTTCCACTCAGAGAATATAGTATATAAAGGAGAAGAAAAAGAGTAAATTTACAGTGGAGAAACCTGACAAACATTACCTCAGCCAGGCGATTAACATCATCAACAGTGGTAAATCATGTTGCTTAGTATGTACCCTTGATATAATGCAATGAAAATGGAACTTGATAATCTTCCTTTCCAAAATCCATAACTTTAGTCTTACCATGAGAAACACATTAGGCAAATTACTACAGAGAGGCATCTTCCAAGATAGTTGACTGGTATTCCTCAAAACTGTCATTGTCAGAAAAACAAGGAACATCTGAGGAAGTACCACAGCAAGAACCATAAAAAGACATGATCACTAAATATATTGTGGTCTCCTAGATGAGACCCTTAAACAGAAAAAGCACTTTAGTAAAAACTAAAAAAAAAGACAAAAAAAAAAACTCTGATAAACTATGGATCTCAGTTGAAAATGTACCAACACCAGTTCACTAACTGTATAAAATGTATCATACAAAATAAAGATGATAATAGCAGGAGAAATTTTGTGTGTGTGCGTGCACACGTATATTGTTCTCTATACAGCTGGCAATTGAATAACAGGTTTGAACTACATGAGTCCACTTATATGCACATTTTATTTCACCTCGACCAACCTTGAGACAGAAGATGAACCTTTCCTCTTCCTCTTCCTCCTCAGCCTATTCAGTGTGAAGATGAAGAGGATGAGGACCTTTATCATGATTCACTTCCAGTTAATGAATAGCAAATATATTTTCCTTATGATTTCCATAATAAAATTTTCTTTGCTCTAGCCTACTTTATTGCAGGACTACTGTATATAATCCATATAGCATACAAAATGTGTGTTAATTGACTGTTGATGTTTTGAAAAGGCCTCTGGTTAGTAGTAGGCTATTAATAGTTGTTAGAGAGTCAAAAGTTATATGTGGATTTTCAACTTCGCAGGAGGTCAGTTCTCCCGGTCCTTGTGTTGTTTAAGGCTTACTGTACTATTTCTGAATTTCACCGTAAATTTAAAACTGTTTTGAAAAATAAAGTTTATTTAAAACACTACAAAAAATGTGAATGAGTTCTCTTTATCCTCTTAGAACTCAGTTGAGAAGAGACTAAAACAACAAAAAAAATTACAGTGTCATATATGCAATAATGTAGGTTTGAAGATAAAACATGCCAACTCAGCCAAAATGTTTAAGATAAACTACCTTTTCAACTAAGTCATAATTTAAAATATTTGAATCTCCAATATCACTCAGCATGTATCTTACTCAAAGTCAGCATTCAAATATGTAGCAGAATGATAAGGAGGACAGATCCCATTTGTGAAATAACCCGGAATTGGGATACTCCAATTATTAGACTTAAGTGAAGGTTAACTATGCCTGGTATCACCACTCTAAAAGGTGAAAGTAAGTTTCAGTTCAAATTTTGCCAGACATATGTTTATTACACAAAATCTGTTTTAGATGCCCAGTGAAATCCCAGGGATACTTCCTTTTATGTGCTTCAACCACACTTTACATGAAAGGTCTCTTGAGAGACAATAGAGGGAGATTTTTTCCCATAGAGTCAATGGTAGGCAAACAGAATCATTAAAACAAAACAAAACAAAACAAAACAAAACAATAAAAGCCTAGGCAAAATAGTGAAGACTCATCTCTAAAAAAGTTAGTCCCAGCTACTACTTGGGAGGCTACAGGATCACTTGAGCCCAGGTAAAGAAAGGCTGGAGTGAGCCCTGATGGTGCAGCTGCATTCCAGCCTGGATGACAGTGCATGGCCCTGTCAAAAACAAAACAAAAACTCCACAAAAACCAAAAACAACACAAAACTGCAAAAACTTAAAGGCTGGACACTTGACCATTTCTTAACTCAATTTTGAAAAGTAAAGGGTGAAAGCTCACTAGGTAGTTATATCTGGCGTATACAGAAAGCAGAAATATCTCTAAGATACTTGAGGCAATACCATCAATTTCATCCATGAAATGAGAATCTATTAGTAAGATTCATCATGCCAATGAACAGAAACCTCAGTGGGGACAGTTAAGTACAAGCTCTAGTACCAACAGCCTTTGCATTATGGCCTTTTTATTATTTATTGTTTTTTAAATTTTTATTTAAAGCCAGCTGACCATTCCTGCAGTATGAATTCTTTATTTTTTTAAATTGTATTTTAGGTTTTGGGGTACACGTGAAGAACATGCAAGATTGTTGCATAGGTACACACATGGCAGTGTGGTTTGCTGCCTTTCTTCCCCTCACCTGTATCTGTCATTTCTCCCCATGCTATCTCATCAGAGCAAAGTGAGGGATAAATCTAGCCATCACACACTTTTGTCTTCCTGAGAATCCAGACAAGATGGTACTCTTTTCTCGAGTTACCTTGCTATTATGAAATTGGTGGTCTAGCTTTATTCCTGAGGTTTCTGTTTGTTTGTTTGTTTGAAATGGGGGTTTCACTTTGCTGCCCAGGATGGTCTCGAACTCCTGGGCTCAAGCAATCGTCCAGCCTCGGCTTCCCAAAGTACTGGGGTTATAGGCTTGAACTACCGAGCTTAGCCCCTAATCCTAAATTTTAATCCGAACTCTGCCACTGTGAGACCTTGGGCAAATCACGCTACTCCCATGGATCCCCAGTTCTCTCCTCTGAAAATGAGGGCACTGGGTTAGGTCTCTCTTGCTCTTTCCATCTATATAATTAATCTATGAGCTGTTTTAGGTGACGTAGAGAAAAACCATAAATATAAAAGCAGAGACACTAGCTTTAATTCATTTGACGGTCAAATTACAGACACCATAAATATTAGCCTCTTAGAGTGATTAACAGCGTTAGCCAAGTATGTTTAGGATTACACTTAAAAATATTTTGGTGTTGTCTGCTTTATAAAGGAATCTACAGCTACTAGTGATACTAGTATAGACTTAAGTTACAACAGGAAAAAAAAAAAAAATCCCCAAGGGAAAAATACTAACCACAGAACGTGATCAAAATTCTCAGACCTACTAACTCTGCTTGCCTTCTATCAGGGTTGGTTTCAGAGCGAATGCTCCTCTCTGTTTAGCCTTAAAACGCGGCAAACCTAAGTCATGTTTCCAACAGCAGTCACCATATTCCCTCACGTTTCCAGTTGAAAAGCCCCAAATGTAGCATTTTTTTTTTTTCCTCTTAAAATTCCCTTGAATGATTCTTTAAGCTCCAGGCATCTGTGAGGACGTTCCAGGTGCCGCCTCGCAATGCTCCCTAATCCTCTTAAAAAGAAGTCGCTCAGCTGGGGCGGGCAGGCGCTACACGGCGCGCACCTGAGCGGCCCGGACTCCCTGAGGCAAGAGGGGCGCGGGAGGGCGAGGCGGCGCCCCGGCTTCTCCTCAGCACCGTTCTCGGTCACGGCTGCCGCCTGGCCATCACCCCGCGCCTTGCGTGGGCACGTCTCGCTTCAGAAATAAGTCGTTTTAGGCTCCCTGGTCCTTCCCCTGGAGAAAAACGCCGCTGGCGCAGCCCCGAGCTCACCTCCGCTCCACTCTGGGCGGCCCGTGCTGCCCTCGTGCCTCCCGGGCGTCGGCCGCGCGCCCAGGTGTTCCCGCGCCCCTCATCCCCTCAGGCCCGCGCCTCTCCGCCCCGTGGGTCTTTAGCGCCTGCGGCCGCGCTCTCGCCGCGGATCCTTCCTCCTTTCCCCACCCAGCCCCGCCCAGCCTCCGCGGCGCTGGGGCTCCCGGCCGAGCCTCTCCTCCCACCTCCGCCCCCCACTTCCCTCCCCAAGAAGTGCTATTTTTAGCAAATCCTCCGCGCGCCGCCACCCGCTCAGCTCGCAGCTCGCAGCCGCCCGCTGCCGCCCTCCCGAGCTCCCCCCGCGCGGCGGCGGCGGCGGCGGCGGCGGCGGCGCGTCCCGCACCGCGCAGCGCGCACCGAGCCGGCCCCGCCGCGCCCGCCGCTCTCGCCGCCGTCTCCTCCTCTAGTGCCCGCCGCCGGTCAATCTCGGCTGGAGGAGCAGCGGCGGTCCCCGAGTCAACTTTCATCCCCCTTTTGCTTCCTGCCTCGCCATTCTCTGCTGCTCCTCGAAAGATGGCTGTTTGGAGAAGGGGGAGAAGTTAGGAGGTCGCCGGCGCGGAGCGAAGGAGGGCGCGACTGCCTCAGCAGGAACGGGCGGAGGTGAGTGGCACCACGGCAGAGTCCCCGGCCAGGGCGTGAGGAAAGCCCTGGGAATTGGGGGCCACCGGTCCTCAGGATACGCCGCTGTATTCCCTGCTCAGGTTCCCCAGGTTAGCAGCATCTCAGTCTGGACTCGGATGCCACTTGCCTTGTATCTCGCAGCCCAGACACCGGTAGGTTTGAGGGAACCTTTGTCAGAAGTTGGGTGCTAGGTGCTCTCGGTGGTGCAGACCCTGACATTTGGCTAGGCAAACTGAGGCGAGGGGTCGGTGGCGTGATTCTCTGCCGCCCTCAAACACACCCAGTTTATGTTGGAGCCGAGCTATGAATGAAAAGTTTGTCCTGGCAACGTGTTGCTTGAGGGGAGCAACGCTTATTGGGGGTACCTTTGATGTTTCGTGGGGGACTTCAGTTTTAAGTCAATACATCAGAATACTGGGTTTTAAGAAAAGTTCAGGAGACTGGGGGATGGGAGATAAAGCAGTTCCTTGGCTAGTGGAAGCAAAGTGATGAATCGTAAGCTTATTAAGGTAAACTGGTTAATTAGATGCCATACGAGGGTGTCATAGTGGGGACTGGAGGGAGCGGAGGACGGGGGGCGTTCCCTGAGCGCCTAGCAGGCTGCATTTGTTTGACTTTGAAGCCGTCACCCACTTGTCCGCAGTGAGAGGTGCTGGTGTCAGGCCTGTGTGTCTGTTATGTGACAGAGAGGGATTGAGCTCTCTCCATATCCGAGGCACGGTTGTCAGGAAACGTGGCCTGCGACGGAGAGCTGAGGATGCAGTTCCTGTGATTTGGACTTAGAGAATTCTCTAGTGAGTCTCCTATGCTCTAATTTCGGGAAGATCTGTCAATTGTTTTTTCTTCCAGGGAGGTGTGTGTAATCTGCTAAAAGGAACTTTCAGCTTTAAGATTAGCTGTAGCATTTTGAAATCCTGTAAGAAATGAGATAGCTACATATATTCATTATTACATATACGTGGGGTGTGTGTGTGTGTGTGTGTGTGTGTGTGTAAAATACGGGAAAGGGGTAAGAAGAAAGGCTTAAAAAGTAACTTCTACCAGAAAAGAAAGCAAAGAGTTAATTTTTTTCTCCCCAAATGGTATAACAATGCATATACAACTAAATACTCTTGCTGTGCTGAGATTTCCCATAAGGAGTAAGAGTTAGGAATTACAAGTATTCAGGGCACTGTCATGTTTTCAAATCTCGCAGGCATTATTGAAATCTGGAAAAAGGGAGTACATACATAGAGAACCCATATTACATGAAAAAAAAAAAATCTTCCAAAAGAAAACCTTTTGACATTTGAAAAGGCCTGGATGTTTTTTTCTGAAGGCCCGGAAATCTTTGTAATCCTCTAATTAACAAAGCACAGAATAATTTGCATTTAATAAATTAGAACTCATATTTAAAGGGTATTTTTTGAACTTCTCTTTGGTACTTTTGATATTTATTATGGAAATTATTGTGACTAAAAATTTGTTGTTTAATCTATTTGCCTTTTACCACACATAATTAGTCCTCCTTATCCTTTTAAACCACTGTTCCAGTTTGGACAAATTTAATTCTCCAAGCATCAAATTACTGGTGTTCCTTCTGGAAACCATTTATATTTCAAATGGCTAATAAGAATATTTTATTTCTGAAACAACATAATTTAGTCAGTTGTAAAACTTGCTTGTAATTTATTCTCATCCATTTTGTTTGAATGGGGCACATTTGAAGAAGAGCAGCATTTTCTTCGAATATGCCATTTTCTGTGTGGGAAAAAGCTAGTGTTTTCATATATATTTTAGCTATTAAACAGATGCATGTAAGGTGGGAATCCTGTCTGACCTTTGATAACCTGTCAGCCAGAGGGAGAGAGATGCTTTCCTAGCTCTGCTCATGAATTGATAATCTTTACTACAGAATGGACATGGTTAGATGCACATAAGGTTGTGCAGAAGGAAGTTAAGAATTTTAAAATAAATACCAGTTAATGGGTAGCAAACAGATTTTTTTTTTTTTTTTTTTTTAACCTCAATGTTACTGTTTCGTTTCTTCTGCAGTTCAGCCTCTTGGGCTGGCCTTTATTGGAGAGTCATACCAGCACTCTGACTAGAGAATGTTTAGCACACTAACTGCCATCTTCTGTAAAAATGATGGCTCCTTTGCAATTAAAAGGTAATTTTATACATAGTTATAGATATTCATGATTGGTGACCAAATGAACTGTAACCGCTATTATAGTAGAAAGAGTTGTTTTACAAAGTTACTGCCACTATATATAAATAATTAATTATATATTTAAGATACAGTTGCACTCTATTTGAGTTTTAGGAGTTTTGAATTGCAAGGCCAGCTGATCACATAAAAACCTATTTAATTAGCTAATTTGAATGACAGCATGATTCAGATTTTTATTAATATCTACATCTAGGTTTATGTAGTTTTCCTTTCTTTTTATTGGAATTACTTCTTTTTTGAATTTGTTTAAATATTACAACATGTTACATTATAATTTGTACCCACTTAGTGGGGAAAGTGCAGGTTATTCTTAAATGGAGATGTGGAGAAATAGCTAACAAGGAGAGTCATTTGAGAAACATATGGACATCATAAAATCCTTCTGCATGTAGCATCTGTACCTTCTCATTAGTGAAATATTGTGGTTATGGACTTTTTTTGTTATTATACCCAAATGTGCTTTTTTATTTTTGCTTCATTGGGTTTTTTTGTTTGTTTTAAAATGTAATTTATATTGCTGTTTAAGTTGGTGGGGGCTTTTATTGCTTGAAGCTTTTGCTTTCAATAGGCATCAGACTTAATTTTTATTGCTTGCATCTGCAGATATATGTAATTGTTTTCCAGTTTATTGTTATAATTTTTACACTTTCTGGTGATTGCTCAAAACATTTGAGAGATAGGTAGGATGACATATTGTTCTCATTTTAGGAAGGAGGCGGTAGGTACACTGCTAGACCCAATGTTACATGATAGTAAATCAGAGTGAAGCTGAGTATAACATCTATATTAATTTTTAAAGTGCTCATCTTTATATATATGCAGATTAGATTTTAAATCAGTCAATATAGTCATAAAGGGATGGATCTTACTGTTGGCCTGTGGACAGGAGAGAACCATGACTCTAACAGCTACTGCTGAAATAAACAAACACACATACCTCTGTGGAATATTTGTTCTTGCAATCAGTCGATAGTCCACATATTTGTCTGCCTCTACTGGCCTCACCCTGTCAACCACTTGCTGCCCCTTTGCTGATCAAAACAGCCCTTGAAGTTTACCAACACAGTTGTCAAGCTTGAGGATCATCAGCCTCACTGGCAAGAGAAGTCACACCCTGATTTTTGGAAAGAGAGAGTATTGACGGGGGACCTAATGGAGTGTCCACTCCAGAGGCAGCCAGTAATGGTTCTGGGTGTTGGGATGTCCATATCTGTCATCAGCTTTGCTCCTTTGGCTGAACTTACAGAAAACAAAGTGAACAGAAGGTTTATGAAATTATCTAGTCATTTCTGTCCATGTAGACCTCATATATGAATATATTAGACTTTTTTTTAAAAAAAGAAAGGTCAGAAACTTATTTTTTTTCTTCATCCCCCAAATCTCCTCTCCTTCAAACCCCACTAGAATTTTTTTAGGATAATTGCCCACATGATTTGTAACAGCCAAAGTGATAGACTTCTGATATTGTATTATTACACTCAACAGTGGAATATATTATTCAGCTTGCAGAAGAAAGCATTGTAGTTATGTAGAAATTGGTAATATGAAATCCTATGCAAGTATTTTTGAATAAGCAGACAGTACTAAGAGCTTTCTATTAAGCTAATATATATTTTTTACTCTTCCTTTCCCTAAATGTATGTTTTTTAGGAGCTCATCCAAATCATTAAGTATGAAATACTGAAAAAAGGTTTAGATGTGGTTTCCTGTTTACTATGATGAATTTCGTTTAGAGCTTCATAGAGAGGAAAACCACTATGTATTGTTTGCTGTACCAGAGAGAGTATAACTTGTTGCTGGTAAGCTTGAGGAGTGTTGAGGTTGTTGGAAATGGTACTTTCTTCCCATTTCTACAGAAGCTGTGGTAAGAAGGAGATGGATGTGGACTGGTTTAGTTTGAGTACAATAGTGATGACTGGAATTTGAAGTGGCCACTGAAAGATAGGTAAGATTTGGATAGTCTGTATCGCTCAAGGTATTCAGTAGCAAGTCATGGAAAGTTAATATAAGCATTAAATAAATTTATTAGAGGATACTGGCTTTGTTTTCTCTTGCTGTATAATACATTGCCACAAATTTAGCAGCTTAACGCAACACCCCTTGATCATGTCAGTTTCATTGCTCAAAAGTCCTAACATGGCTCAACTCGGTCCTCTACCCAGAGATCTTCTCCCCTTGTTGGCTAGGGCTGCAATCTCAACAGATCAATGGGAAAAGATCCACTTTCATGCTCTTTTCTACTACTGGAAGAATTTATCTCATTGTGGCTGTAGGACTGAGGCCTCCATTTTCTTGTTGGCTGTCAGCCAGAGGCCACCTTAACTCTTAGGGTCTGCTGTTATTCTTCGCCATGTGGCCCTCTCACAGGTACTGTTACAACATGGCAGCTTACTTTTTTGAATCCAGCAAGGAAGTCTCTCTTGCTCCAGTCTGATAAGAAAGAGTCTTATAAACTATAATACGATAGTGAGAGGGTGACATCAGACTATACAAGAGTATGACTTCTTGGAGGTCAGCTTAGGTTATGTCCACCACATTGACTAGCTCATAGAATCTCTGGCATAGGGAGGGTAGAGTGGCTCACAACGGTAATCCCAGCACTTTGGCAGGCCAAGATAGGTGAATTTCTTGAGTCCAGGAGTTCAAGATCAGCCTGGGCAACATGGTGAAACTCCGTTGCTATAAAAAAAAATACAGAAAAATGTTAGCTGGTCATGGTGGTGTGTGCCTGAAGTCCCAGCTAGTTGGAAGGCTGAGATGGGAGGAT